GATTTATAAAACCTATATCTTAAATTTCTAAACCCTAAAAATATTTTGACACCTAAAACCTCATAAACACTCAAAACTAAACCCTAATAGAACATAATTAACCCAAACATAAATAATATAAAGAAAATATAATTTTGAAAAAATGGCATTTTTGTAAAAATTTCAAAAGTGTGGCATTTTTGTAAAGTGGCACTTGAAAAGTGGCATTTTTTAAAATTTCTCTTTTTGCAAATGAGCACCCCTAAATGGCATTCTTGCAAATGTCCACACAAAAAGTGGCATTTTGTAATTGCCCCTAAAAATATAGTGAAATTTGCTAAATTACCACCATTTGAATTTTATTTTATCTCAATACATTTTCTATCACATAAATAAGTTTTATTAGACTCTAATTTTGGGGAAACTCAATTTTACCTTCTAATTTTGTTAATTTCATTCTAATTTTCTCTTTTAATAATTGAAAACAAATAATACAACATATTTTATTTAACCAAATAAACTAATATAAAAAATAATTAGAAGAAATAAAGAAATTCTAATGTTTATGTCTGATTTATAAAGAAAATACCTTTATAATGTAAACAAAATATATTGAAAAATATATATCAAAATTGTTGATTAAAAAACTGAATATTTAGATCCTAAATCTAGGTAATTTAAAAAACTAAATTTGCAGAAAACATATTCTACAGTACTCGATAGGTGATAGCAAATGTGGTAGATTTTATATTATAGCATGGTAGAATATATTGAGCGTATTTTGAATTTGGTAGTCGTTAGTCCAAATCGTGGAATAAACACTCTACGAAGATGTAGAAGATAGAGCAAGTAGTAGAACACAAATTTTACATTTGGTAAACATAAGTCTACTAGACAAAACCAATAATCTACCGATCCGTAAATGTCGAACGTAGATTTTTGAAGCTGTAGCAAACTATACAATTACTTTTGAACATGATTTTTAACTAATTAAAATATTTTGATATATAAAAATAAATATCCTTTAAGTGTTTGTAATTATAAGATTTAAAAAAGAGTTAAAAATCTTTTATTTCTAATTATTTTATTGGATTAACTGTAGTTTAAACAAAAAAAAATAGTTAAAAATGAGAAAAGGGTATTGGGATAAAATGAATTTCAATGTAGGATGATTTTATAAATCTCCCGATAATATATCACCTGGCATTATAATTTATAAATAAATATTGGGCTTAAAATCTTTAAAAGTAAGATGGGTTTTGTTTAGGTCCATAGAGCAGATTATAAAAACAAAAACAAAAATCTGCCCACATGCATGTAGTCATATATATGAATGGGTCATTTTTGGTGTATAACTAAAAAAATAAAAATAACTAAAAAGTAAGTAAAAGAGGAGTATGTGGCAAAATTATGACTATTGGATGTAGAGTTTTTGGTTAGTGTTTAGATTATAATTTTTTTAGAGAAATTTTTAAAATGTCACTTTACAAAAATATCATACTTTTGAAATCTTTACAAAAATACCACTTTTTCAAAATTATTTTTTCTTTATATTATTTATGTTTGAGTTAATTATGTTCTATTTGGGTTTAGTTATGAGGGTTTAGAGAGATTTAGGGGTCAAAACATTTTTTAGTGTTTAGAATTTTAAGATATAGGGTTTAAAAATCTATAATTAGTGGTATTTTTGCAAATGAACACCCTTAAGTTGCATTTTTACAAATGTACACATAAAAAGTGGTATTTTTGCAATTTCCCCATTTTTGTGTTATTTTTATTTTATAATTTATCTTTATGAAAAGAGTTTTTTCTACTGTGAGTTTTGAAAATCACTATTTCTTTAATAAAAAAAAGGAAAAGATGATGTTTACTGAAAAAAATAGTAGAATGTAGTATTCAAAATTTATTGAAAAGCTAGAGTACTTTATGACAATTTTCAAAATTGATGTATTTTTAGAATTTCTCTGTTATCGTATATTTTCAACAATTCAGTTTAGAATGAGTTAATGATTAATGAAAATGTAATTTCGAATTCGAAGAAATAGGAAATAGAGGAAAAACAAATCTTCTACCTCAATCTCAAAGGATGGCATGCCTAAATGTGACGCAAAACCTTATTATATAGGAATCTATTGGCTAGATTAGTGGCCGAAGGAGTTATTTAACGACAAGTCTATGCTTTGTTAATTAACTACTAATTATTATATGCAATCCTTCATCCAACACGTTTTAGAATTTCATAGTACTTCACATGGAGTATATGGATAGATAGATGCGCACCTTTCCTTTGTGTATGTTCCGGCATCTCTAGTTGTAATTCCATTATATCTTGTGGTTACGGTTTTAGTAGAGATTAATGTTATTAAAATTATACGCATCGCAGATAATTTAAACTACTACACCCTAAAATTGCATTCGATCTATGACGTATTGTGTACGTGCACTAATACAATCATCGATTGGATGTGGTAGAATAATATTTCTATGTTAGGGAAGTGAGTGTAGTTAAAATTAGATTTGCCTAATGTCGAATCATTCATTTATTTTTCTTAGGAATTAAATTAAGAGATAGAGATTCGCCTCCCATTATTTGCATGTGTGATTCTCTTATATATGTTATTCGTCACTATTGCCTATGGTTTTTATATTACTGCTTTGTCGCTCAAATTGTGAGAGTGAAGGATCACAATGCTTAATCACACAAACAGTGAGCTTATAATTGCTAGATTCGAAAAGGATGCTAAAGTAACATTAACCGTCGGATTTAAGATAGAAAAAGATTGTATGCATAATGACATGACATTATGGAATAATACATTGTTAATATACTGAACTGTTCAATTTTAATATCTAGATAAGACTTGTTTATTTGGTTGAGCAAGCAATTGGAGGAGTGTTAAGTTTTTGTTGATCATACGTACTGATCAGATGAAGCATTTCTTAAGTTCTATTAACATTTCCCAAGAACAAAAGACAACATTTGGCGCTAAACAACATATAAAAACTCTTATCAAGTTTTTTGAAATAAATAAATTATCCGTTAGAATAATGTGCTTTCGAATAATATGATAAAAATACCTACCATATGATTTAATCCAGTGGTTAAAATCTTGAAAGATTCCTAGAAACCAAATCAGAATTCGAACCAGTTCTTACAAAAGCCTAAACTTTTGTTTTTGTAGAAGATTGAGGAATATGATGAGATGTTATTCCAATATGACAAATCTCCAATACAATATTTTAAAAGCAACGAAAGTAGATTGAGCAACAATATATAGATTTTTTAGCTAACCACATCGATAAAACCAAGGGCAGATGTAGTCAGGTTTTGGGAGAGGCACTTGTCCATCATTACTATTTTATGTTGTGTTACTTAACAGGTTTTAGTTATGCATCGGATAAAAATGATTTTTAGATTATCACTGGTCATACAACCGTTAATCAACACTGACGAGATATAGTATTAGAAGCCAAGAGAGCCGGATGCTATGTAATGACTATGCACAATGACGCTCGTTTTAGTGAATTTTGGTTCGCTTCCATGTCTACAACAAAATATTGACTTATTGCAATAACTATTATATGTTGCCATATCATTAATTTCTTGTACATAATTTCACCTATTTTTATTCCTCAGTTGAACAACCAATTTGCACCTAATTTTTCTCTTTCTCTTTGCGATCTCTACACAGCCGCCGTTGATTTTCTCGTCTTGACCAGTACGCGGTGGCTCCTTCAGCGCCGGTGCCGGTCCTCTAGTTTGGTTTAGTTTCCTTGTCTTGCATCTGTGTAGCCTCAATCTTTCTCAGGTTGCTCTATCGCCGTTTGTAAGGTACCAGTGGAGCTGCGACATTGGGGTTTAGGTCTAAAGGGTTCTAGATTGTAGGCGTTCGTTTCAGTTGGGTAAGTTGGCTTATGGGCTGTCGATCTTGCTTCTGCTATCGTTTTCGGCCTCCTTTCAGCGTAGATCTTGCTCGCAGATCTGGTTTGTTTGATTTCACTGAAGCGGTTCCTTGGTTCTGCGAGCAGCTATGCTTCTCGTGTTGGGGCTTCGGGTGGCGACAATGGTTTTGTCCAAGCCATTTGCCCCCGCTGCAGTTGGGTGGTTATAGCTCGATTCAGAACATGGTTTGTTTCTGTTCTCAGATCAGACAGTTTTCCGTTTACTTGACTTTGCTGGCATTTGTAGTGTGATGGCCTTACCGGTGGTAGATTTCGCCTGGATTGAGTAGTTGTCTATCTTATGTTTACTTTGTGGTGTCTCGTTTGGGCTGTTGAAGTTTAAGATCTACTAGTGATTGCCTAGGATTGTTGAGTTTCCAGATTTGTGGTCCAAGATCTTTAGCTTCTCCAGATGGTCTTTGTGTCTTTGGTTTCATTGTATTCTGGCCTACTTAAGGTACTTAAGGTGCTGTCTTGAGGTTGTTGGTTAAGAGTGACTCAATCTTAGTGAAGAAGATGTTCGCTACCTAGCTGCTTAGTCTCTTCTTTATCTGCGATGTGAATATTTCTTCTATTGGCGTAATGCATACCAACACCTTGTCTTTGTGTACTGGGTTGTGTATCAATATGAAGAAGCGTGAGTTTGGTTCGGGCTCTAATCGTGCTACTTGGTGATCTCTTTTTCCTGGTTCATCTTGGCTATTGCCACTCTTAACTGGTTTAGTTTGCGCTCAGGATTTGGTTCCTTTGTCTAGAGTGTGTATGCAGCTCCCTCGCCCCTTTACCGATGCCGTGAAACGAAGTATGGGCTCCAAGCTTTGGTGGTTCAATGAAAGGAAGGCATTTGGCCTTGTCGGAGATGGAGATGTCAAGTTTTGAATCTTTCTCTTTGAATTTAACTGTTTATCCTAGGTGTAGTTTGATCTTTTGGTCGTTAGGTATCATATTTTAGTCTCGAGGATCTCGGTATAGATTCTTCTTATGTATTTCACTTTCGTATCCTACTTTTGTATTCCAAAAAACGTATTCCACTATGTTCAATATATAATATTTTATATATTTCTTGTTGTGTGACATATCATTAATTTCTTGTTATGTGACATACATTCTTTTTAGGTTTTCACTTTTCACTCATCCTTAGAAAGGCTTTCTAAGGGGCACATGACAATGTTTAATTTTCCTACATAGCATATTGACTTTTGATGTAGTAAATTAATTACATGTTAAAAACAGTTGGATTGAAATATTTTTTGGGTATTCTAATCCTAATCCAAATGAGAGAACCGTGACTAACATAGAGAAGTTTTAGATTATTTTTTGTTTAGTGAAAAATTGACAAATTTCCTTTTATGGATTAAAATGCCGTTTTCCTTAACATTAAAACGTATTTTATTTAAAAAAATACATCAATATTCATTAATAACATTTGACACAGAATTTCAAATATTACTTTCAAAATATGAATTGATAATCCACATGATATATATACTCTACATGACTTTTAATAACACCAAATCTAGGTGCCATATAATACTTTATGAGAAAAAAGTTAAAATAATTGGTGGCGATAATTTTAAAGAAATTCTATTTGTCACGTCAAAATAATACTTTTCGTCTTCATGTGATAGACCCTCCTCTCACTTACGGCTATATAAAACAGTTCCACACATAACTCTCTTCACTCCAAAAACACCAAACCAAAACC